AACCATAGCCTCCATCTGCCCAACAGGATTCGTTCCGACACCAAGTAAATTACCTGGAAAAAAAAAACCCCTCTGCACACAGAGAGCAGTGATACTGGGCATACAAACTTTGGAAATGGCTGCACAGAGACTGCCTGTGCCATGCTAATTTGGCCCCAGCGTTTGTCTGCCTCACAAACCAAATCTGTAATCACAGGATCGCCTGCTGTTTTTCTCCCACAAGACCTCTGCCCTGCTCAGTCCTCAGGATGGTTCTGCTCACTGAATGCAGCATTACTCATCATTTCTTTCATTATCATTCAAGTTGTTTCCCCGTTCCCTCCTACTCTCTTCCACTTTATTTAGTATGCTCCATCCGACTACTGCCAGCATGGATTACACTGCAAGCACCTAATCTTACTGTCCTTATCGCTCTCACAGCCTCTGACGTGCTCAGCCTCACATTTCTGCGAGGCAGGGAAGCTCTTCTCTCCATGCAGCAGATGGGAGAGGAGGCTAAAAGAAGCTGAGACACCTAACAAAGTCACAGAGAAAATCTCCCAAAAGCAGGGAGCTGAACATGGGTCTTCAACTCCCAGGCTGACCCTCTACCCCAGAGAGATCCTTTCTCTCTCCTGACCTGCAAGAATGAATTTTAATCTCTTCCTGAAATTGTTTCTGGTGTTCATCTGTGGAGCCAGAATACTTGGCAAGCACTGAATTAATATTCACAGGATGACTGGAAGGTTTTCCTGAACAGACATGGGAAAATGAGCAAAGAGAAAACTGAACCTGAATGTCCACTTCTTGCAAGTGCCCATCTCAAGACTTGCAGGTCCCTGTGTTTTCAGCCCTGCAGGGCACAGGGCTACCTGCAGAGGAATTCCTCCTGGCCTCCTCCTGCCACTAGGAACACAGGTGAGACCTCAGATCTCGAGCTGACCATCCATAAAATAAGGAATACAAACTCAGTCACTACCCAAGAACATTTTAGCTTAAGACACTGGAATAGAATTGAGAAAGAAGAGAGTAGTAGAGGCAGGAACAGGATCCAGTTCTCCAGGGCAACATTTAACAGGCTTTGCCATGAGACTATTGTGATTTTTCTGCAATTACCTGCCTCATTCACTACACACCTTCTAATTTTGACAAAGTGGAAGTACTACAGGCAAGAGTCTTCTTTACTCCATACTCCTGATTCATCCCTCAAACACGCTGAATCTTTGTGCATTGAGCAAGGCAGGCATGCTTTGTAAAAAATATATATGATGTTTCAATTAGATATAGTATCAAAATGTACTTGTGTAACAGTGGCAAGACTAAAATGCAGAGATATTTCTTAAATTTTGTACTTGATTTTGCAGTTAATGAGGACTCTTTAACTATAGGTTTGTTTTTACTGCACTGTATTGGCTCATATGTCAGTCTGCAGCAATATCTGATGCGTAACATGTACGTTGCACATGATCAAAGACTTGAGTGTCATTTTCTTCCCTAGAACAATGACAGCCTAAAGCAGCAGGAGCAGAAATTATCTAAAGGTAGTGTTAAACAAACCTCCTTCTCCCCTCTGGGGAGTAAGCAGTCCAGGTGAGCAAGGTAGGAGGGGAGAACAGTCTGCTTTGTGCTAGACGGGCAGAGAGCTCCACATAAAAGCAGAGGAGCTTTGCAGAAGCATGTCCTGACTCCCATCACTGGAGACTTAATGATGGTAATTCCCAAAGGATGATGCATGCTGACAGGCTTTGACACAAACTACCCCAGGATAATATTAATATGTATTAAAGGCTCAGGCAACTTTGTTGGGATGGGCTTGATCAGTAACACATTTCAACAGAGTGTCTCTATCATCTGCTGGAACATAACTAAGGGAGGGAGGAAGAACACACGCACAACCTCACCTTGCTTTGGGTAGGTTTAGAGACAAGCAAGGTTGATCTGTGATGAATTGCACCCTTGGCACAGCTCAGATGTTGGACCGAGAACCTTGGACGCTCCACCACAAATACAAACGTCAGTGTGGGGCAGTTAATGTCAGAGTCTGTCTGCATGATCAACATCCTTAACCCTCCAACATGGGGCCAGACACCTCCTGCACAACCCTTCTCTGTGCATCTGGAACATCTGCCCCTTGAAAAGGAGAGGTGAGGTGCTTAGGAAGCAGTGTGGGGGCTCTGCTGTCACAGCACTGGGGGAAGGGGGAGTGGAAGAAAGAACCGCGGAAGCCTTTGATCATGTGTAATGTTAATGCAAGTGTTACACATCAGAGACTTTGCCACAGTAACTAGCATATAAACAGGAGTGTAGTGTTAACAAGGAGGACTTCTTCAATATGTTTGTACACTTCTGAGTCAAAGCAATTTCCCCATTCAACAATACATGACACAGTGGAAGAAGTTCAGAAATAAACCAGCCTGACATGCTTAGACCTTTAATAGAATTTAGCTTCTTAGAACTAATTAAATGTTACTTAAAAAAAAAAATATTAAAAATATCCAAGTACTTGGGAGAGGTGCCAATTTGACAGCTCTGGAGGATGAAATAATCTAATCATCCCCCGAGCATGGGCAGCAGCAGGACAGGCTTCCCCAGCTAACATGCCTCAAATGTGACCTGGAAAGACCGTTGATAGAAATGGGGCATACAATCTCCGTGGTCTAATGACTCCTTGTCTTTTCTGCTGAGACTGCTAAAACAGCTCCCGCCCAGTGCCAGCTGCAGTGGTGATACGGACACCTGTCTGGTAGGAATGGTGCTGGGACCTGCCAAAGTCCTGTCAGCTGCTAACCCTCCACTGGAGCCCAGCGACTTTCAGCTCATTGCTCAGCCCGGGCAGCGGGGGCTGACAGGCTGTGCAGCAGCTCTCCAGCCTGTCCCACCTTGGACATGCTCCACTCCAGCCCACGAGATGTAAACAGGAGGTACTGTGTTTAGTCTGCAGGTTTGGGCTTTCACTGTACCAAAGCTCAGGCTCAAGAGGAGTCACCCTCTGCCTGCTGCAGAGTCGAGGCCAGGATTTTTCAGACTCTTATTCTTCCCCTAAGATAGGTAAAAATTCCACAAGAAGAGATGCCTGCCATCTCCGTTCCTCTCCACAGTCCCTCCATTTATTTGTCTTTGCAACAAGCTCCTGCATTGCAGTGATTTGCTTTCAGCCGCCAACTCTCCTTGGAGCTCATCGCTGTGCCTGGGGTCCCAAGTGAGGGAGGAGGAAAATCCTCTCTGGGCCTTGCTGTGAAAGCTTTGTGGGGCTTGCCAACTCGGCCAGCCCAGGCTGCAAGGGACTAAACCAAACATAGCTCGCTCCCTTGGAAATTTTATGCACCACAACTTCTTTTACTTCTGAAGCAAAGCCACATGAACCTCCCTCCTCCGCTCCCAACACCACAAGGGACTGCTGAGCACAGATCAAGCCTTCCATTGCATATTAAGCCAAGAGTCTCAGACACTCCCACATGTATCTCACACAACTGGGTGCTCCTCCTCTTGTCCTGGGCTGCTTTTAGCCTCCCTTCCTCCCCCACCCAGTCTGTCCTCCTTCATTCTCATCACAGGACAGAGCAGGAGCCAGCAGCAGAGCCGATCACATCAGATGAGAAGATCCAATAAGTTGACCTTGTGTAGGAGATAAAAGAGGGATCTTGCTCCTCCCTCAGAAGCCAGCAATTCTCCATCTTTCCCTCCCAGCTACTCCAAAAAACTTCCATAATTTTCAGCAGGCATTGAAGCAAACAGGTTCATAAGGGTTAATATTAGTTACATATCTGAATGGTGACCTAATTATTGCCATTCTTCACTGTTTAGAGGTTACCTGACTACTCTACACATCAATACATTTTGAGATGTGATGTAAATGCAAACAAACACTCTTATGTTTGGAGTTAACACAGTCACAAGATCCTGCGTATCATGTGTTGGCAAGCACAGGAACCAACAGCAAGTGACCCACCCTTAAACCTGACCGTTTGCTGTTAATCATTACAGGAGGGTTGTACTTTCCAGTCAGTACAATCAAAGCATGCAACCTCTTTGAAAATCCCTACGCACAAGATGATTCTAGCCAAGATCAGCTCCTTTACAAGTTGTACAGATTTCAAGGTATGATGTCCTCCAGACATATGAATATGGGCAGTGGAATGCCTTTAAAACAAGTCACTGGAAGGTTAACTGCAACACTGCAATGCTAAGACAACCCCCTGCCTTACAAACAGAAGGGGAGGCAGGGCAGGAATGCCACAGTAAGAGTGAAGGCAGAGACATACTTGCACGCGTGTAGCTCCTCAGAGATGGGCTTTTCTCAATAAATATATTCCCCAAAACTTTTTTCTTTTCGCAATATGTTTATAACCATGAAGAAATTCAAGGTTAGAATAGTGCTACACCATTGTATCAGTGCTTCACTGCTCCATAGGGCTGACCCTCACCACCAAGCAGATGGGGAGTTCCAAGGAAAATCTGTGATACGGAAAGAAACCTGGGTGCAGAAAATGTGCGGGTGCTTCAAGCAACCATGAGCTTTTATCAAAGAATGAAAGAAAAGAGCTAAAACTGAGAGAAGCTGTGTTCTCTGTGCTGCTCTCCTGTTAGGGATGATGTAAAACTGAGCTCTTGGCTCTGTAGGATCACAGTCCCACAGCTTTCTAGCTCTTCCGCCCTGGCTCCGTTCTTGTTTAGGTCATTCCACTCTGCCTCCCCAAATTCCTTTCTGGAAGAAATCAAGAGTAAATACAGCCTGTAAAGTGTTTGCTGACTCCAGGAAATGGACACTACCAAATTCACAGATGATTTTTGAACTTTCCAGCCACCGCTTATCAATTTGAGTTCCATTAATATAAATAGTAACAGTTCACCATTATTTTTTCAGTCCATAATTACCGAAAATATTACGCAAGAGCTATGAGAGATGTCGCAGCAGAAAATACAGGTTTGTTACACTTCTTAACCACATAAGCCCTTAGCAGGATCATTTTTAGGACACAGTAAAGGAGGAAGTGGGAGAAAAAGGAAGGAGGCTCTCTCACTTGTAACCAAGGTCCGTGTGCTGCATAGGGATGTTCTTCTGTAGCAAAGGCTCCTTCTACTCCTGTGGATACAAACGTGATTGCTGTATCCCCTGTAATACTTTTATATGTAAAGTGCCGTCCATGTAAGAGCCTTCCCCTGGGGAAGAAAACATATGTGTGAGAATTGAGAGGGTGTGAGCAGCGTTCAACAGAATGATGAAGATATACCACTACAGCTTCTGCTATCAGCATGGGAAGCCATTTTGAAGGCAGCAGCTATTAATTTTTTCAGGAATTTGCTCCACAAAGCAGGTCACAAGCCTCATTTTGAGGCAGGCAGTTCCCCCTTATCTCCCCCCTTAATCTCAGGGCCTTGTTACAGAACTAGAATACATCTAAATCCCACTTGCATGCCTATCCCCACGAGAAGGTGCTGATGTATGTAAGGGCAGGGGACTGCCAGTCTTTCAGTAAGATGAAAACTGCAGAAGACAATCCAGACTCCACACCATGTGGAAATGTTAAGATGCGTTTCTAAGCAGACTAATTGGTGGGGCCAAACTTACCTACTGTGACAAGACCTAGTAATCAATTTCCCTGGTGCTTGAGAAATGTAACCCTTATTACTTAAGCAAATACCTAGAAAATATATATACATGACCATCTATGGTATCACTTCCTTTTCTTCATTCAGTGCTTTCCAAAGGGAAAATCATGACTCTGGTATTTAGGCTCAGAGCATGTGTGGCACGCATGCATGGCCTCCAATATGCAAGGGAGAAAACTTCAGGTAAGATAAATAATGCCTAAGAGTCACAGTTGCTTGATGAGTTACTGCTGGTCAGTGGAGCTGTGGTAACTGTTCACAAATTTGTGATGTAAAATAAAATATGTTTGTGTTAACTATCCCATTGGCTTTTCAACAGGCCCAGGTGAGTGTGTACCTGCTGCTGATAACTCTGATACTGCAGACACCTAACTCATTAAGCTAAAGTAACTCAATCACCTGCAATCATTTGTCTCTACCCTACAGTTCATCTTTATGTTAAGGACTACATTTGACACAGGTATTTTTAAAAATAGTGCTGACTGAAATTGTGGAAACCTAGAAAAGTCACTTACAGTGGTATGTACAGCCTGAACCTTCAAAAGACAACATGTAGAGTATGCACACAATGTTTTGTTCCTTCAATCATGCAAGTAACATAATTTGTCTAAAAACCACTCCTGCACACAAACTGACTGCAAACAGGCTTTGTGCAACCACTTGTGTCTGAGTCCATAAGCCAGAATTAACAACTTAAGAGTCTTCTTTGACAGAATATAGTAAAACACCCTTTCTTTATCACACAGTTGCCAGCATTAGACTAATAAAAAAATCCCTATACTAACCCTGTCCTATTTCAGCACTCAAGGTACACTGGAGGACATAAGAAGAATGAGAAACAATCTTACCACGATGAGCACACATGCAAAGAATCATCTGTTTCTAATGTGTTTTGGCAAAATATCTCAGCTCTGGCCTTTAAAGACTCACTTCATGCATGTCTGTATGGTGAAACAATGCCACAAGGCAAAAGCAGCATGTTAGCACAAGCTGAGGAGGACGGTTTTACTCACCTTAGACAGAGAGGAATGAGAGCTCCAGACTCCTGGTTAAATTTCAGGTGTACGCTCTCCAGCTGTCTCGTGCGTATTAGCTCATGAGGAATGATAGCTGCTGAGCTCTCGCTTTCTAAACTGTCCTTACGGCTTCTGAGAGAAGAGACAAAATGCATATATTCAGGATCCCAGTACCATGTGCTATTTCTGCTCCATTTCAGAGCAATTGTGCAAATACTGAAGGACTCGGGAGTAAACTCTTATGAAGACATCTGAGTTTTCATCACCCCTACAGAGATGCAGCCTCCCTCAGACTACTGGTCACAGCATGCAGCTCTTCAGTTTGATTTTATGACCTCGGATCTGAATTGGTGGACACATATGGTGCATCCCTTTCCAGCATTAAAAAAAAATAAATTCTGGGAAGAAGTGGAGCAAAACTATACTCTCTAAACCCTAAACCACAAAATTGCTTGGGTGAATTACTAGGTGTGCCCTCCCTTCTGCTTTTGCTTTATCTTCAGGATTTTTTAGGCAGTGGCTCGCAGGAAAGAGTTGTCCAGTCCCTTGTGCTCTTGCTCAAATATCTTTGAGGTCTGAGGCATCTCTACAATCATAATAAAATTATTTCTTTCCCCAGTTCAACCAAAAGATTTTGAGAACACTCTGCTTCCATCAGCATCAAATGCAACAGCCAAAAAATGGACTCTACACATGATGAGTATGACATCAGCAGAGTTCTTTCCCTTGTAAGTGGAGTTGCTTTAAGACAATGCAGCTTTGCTTTCTTATTTATTCATTCATTTCTGCAACGCCAGCATATTGTGAAGCTACGACTAAAGGTTATGTTGTTACATGATTAGGAACTTTGCCAGATAGAATCCTGGTATATCTCAAAATACTTGACCATAAACACTTTATATGTTCAAAGAGCATCATCATAATCCCTTAGTTGCTAGTCCAAAACAAAGAATGAAGGACGGGGTGGTTATGATTTCTGCAGATGACACGGACTGATGTGATGTGTCTGATATGTGATTTATATTTTTGTGAACTGGCATTCCACATGAACGTAAGAGAGGAAAGATTTTGTTAAGATCGTTTCTGTAGTACAGAATCACCAGATGAGAGGGACAGGGAAAGCAGGAGGGAGCTGAAAGATGCCATATTGCCATGTGGTTCCATCGTGCCAGATAGACCAAAAGCCAAACAGGGCTACTAGGCTGTGGCTCCATTTGGGAACACTGTCAAAACAAGCCTGGATCCCTCCTCCACCCAAGCGGAGCCATCTTTAACTTACATCTGGAACTAATTATAAAGAAACAGCTTGACCCTCATGAGCTGACTTAGATCACACATCTACTTGATTTTACATTTGGGTGCTGTCCCAAAATTACTCCCATCCACCACACACATATAGTTCAGTGTGGCTCACAAAGCAGATCAGCCTATTGCCTCTGCCAGGTCACCTAGTCCCAGGTAAGCCTTTCACCCAGGCTGCTGAGCTGCCCACTCTGAAATGAGGATACGAGCTAAACTCTGGTATCTCACAGTGCCTTTTGCAAATACTCTGCATGGCCAGGTCAGAGACATGCAGGGGAAAAAAATCAGAGCAGCTCAGCTCCCTGCAAGATACAAACTGTAAAACGTGCCCCATGTTCTGCCTTAGCAACACACAAAAGCAATAATGGACCCAGCAAGGACACAGTAGGTCAGGATACAGCTTATGCACAGGGTGGGCTGATGGACTGACAGTCAGCAGAGTGTCAGTCTGGTGGGTGAACCCTGAAGCAAAGACACAACATGCTTTGTAGTCTATAGGTGGCACTTAAAGCTGTGTTTAATCTACTTCAGCAAACATTTTACTGCTCTTTGTAGGTGGGGTCTTCAAAGAGTGGAGTGGGCAAGCATTTTGCAGGCTGATTACCTGAGAAGTGCAGTTACAGTTGATTAATGATCAGTTGACCTTAAGCTAAGCTTTGCCTCAACTTCCTTATCAGATCTTATATACACAGCGAGCTGTGGGAAAGTCAGCCTGTGGTCTACAGCTTCCAATCATTCATCAGTCCCTACCAAAAGGCTCAGCCATTAGCAACGCATGATTTTCAAGCAGGCCATAAGCTTGCACTTGTTAAATGCAGTTCCAGAGTTTACCCACCTTGGAGCAGATCAGGAGTTTTACAGCAATGTTATTGCTACAGACAAGAGACTGTGCCGTTCTCACCTGGGCTGCCTAAGTGTGCTGGGCACATCCCATAACACAGCCTCCCAGGCAACTGCTGCTGTAGGCTCATGCTTTGGAAGGACAGAGCTGCAGGACAGTTCCCCATCCCCCTGGGCTCCGCAGTCCAGAGGGGAAACAGCCTCCGGTTGTTAATGCAATAATAAGAATGACGACAATATTCTGGAGGGAAGGGGAAAAGCTTTCTAAGTCTTATTAAAAACAGCAAATGCTGTTTGTCATTACACGCTCAAGAGAAGATGTTGACTAATGTGTAACTATCAAACGGAACTGTCATGACTTTAAGGCTGTCAATAATTATGACTTCACATTAATAAGTAACCAGCCCTTCTGTCAAAAAGGTGAAGGAGTGAAGGAAAATGGTAGTTAATACGTTGAATGACATGAAATTATTGCTTCTTTCCACAAAACTTTTCCAAAATAGTCACGGTCTCTGTTTCTTGTTTTACTTTAGTGGAGCTCACACAATTTCAGCTATTCAAAAGTTAAGGGCGAAACTTCCATAGCAGAAACTAAATAACCTTCTTTCTAAGCTCTACCTTTCTAAACCAGACTTTTTTGTGGTGGGCACTTCTGGATGTGTTGTGGACTGCACATAACATATCAAGAGGCCACAGTGTCATCACTTTCAGACTCTGGAACATGTCGCATGACATAGGGACTAGACAAGACCTGTTCAAATTCTCCCTTTGGGAATGGAGATCCTTGTGCTGACCCTTCCAAAGGGTGATGGCCCAGATGAAGGGTCAGCAGGACTTCTAGGCTGTTACTAATAAAAAGTTCATGTTGTAACAGACACTGCCATCCACAGCGTGTTGTTTTCAGCCTCAGAGGAAAATGTAGAAAAACTTTGCTTTCTAACACTAACATCCCTGGTTTTACGACTGTCAGTTACCCGTAAGCCTGTGCTTCCTCCACCCCATCACCAAATAAATCAGCAGCAGAAGCCAGTGGAGTTTTATTTGTTATGACTAAGACCTATCTGACTATCATGTAAAATGTTGCAAACTTTGTCTATTCCAGATTTAATACTTCATCCAACCCACACAAAAAAATTCTTGTTTCTCAGTGTCCAGAAAAAACAAGTCTGCAAAAGCCAGGGCTGCTGCATTAGGAAAGGCAGGAGGTTTAAATGGAAGCAGCATGCCGGAAATGCCCCAGTTTAAGGACTGCACATCTTGTGTTTTGTGAAACTGGAGGGGAGTTGGAGGAGATTAAAGCGCGTTTCCCTCTGATTGGGAGCTTGTGGGAGGTGTAAACGTGGGCAATTGTCAGATTAATTCTTTAGATGATTACACTCTTTTTGTTTCTTTAAAGCTGTTTGTAGTTGGGTTTGATGTCTCCTGTTCTGGGCAAGTGTATTGCTGCAGTTACCAAGGTGACTTTAGCTGACTTTCAACTATTTTTTCCAGCTTCAGTTTCTATCAGTACTCTGCTGCTAGGTGGAGGAGAAAGGGAAGAAATTATGTTTGTTGGGTTTTTTTATTTTTAAATCTCATGAATGCTGATTAATAGTCCATGAATTTAACCAAAGCCACATTTGATTTTTTTTTTATTTTTTGAGAAAGAGGGGTGGTCAAACCATTGCAAAGGGGTCTCATGTGGCCTGCAGCTTCTCCAGACCTCTGTCAACAGGGAGAAAGGGCCTGAGGAGACTACATGTCCCAGCGTGCTGCACTCCTTCTTGATGTGAGCGGCCACACGCTGGAACCTGTAGCCTCCTGGGGGCCCCTCTCTTTGTATTAAAGATGAGGGTGGCTGCAACCTGCTTAATTTTATGCCAATTAGCAGCAGCCCGTGGGGATCCTGGAAAATGGCCAATGCAATCACTAGGTTGCACGAAGTTTGGATGTCCCCTCCTTATAAGTCATGTTTATAGCAACCTCTTCTCAAGCAACCCCACTGGCAGTTATTTTATGGGATTCAAGAATAACCAGGTTGATCGGATTAAGAAAGGTTTATTTATTCTTGCATTTGCGTTTTGCTTTATGATCAGAGTGCTTGATCTCACGGATCTGTCACGGAGGGAGGTCTCAGTTCCCCTCCAAGCTCTGTCACTGACACGGAGCATAATTTTGCTGCATTTCCAAGTTACCCTCCCAGGTACCAAACTCACAAAGGACATGCTGTTGGAAGCTGGCCACAGCAGGGGCTCTTCGTAGGAGTGGATGCCCACTGCATCACTAACCTGATTACTACTCCTTGCTTCCTTGGTACAAAAGCCAGCACCCTGAGTTAGCAAATGCAAACCCTTAGTGCAAGCTTAGCAGCTGGGAGAGGAAGGTTAGACCTTTTTTTTTTAACTTTTTTTTTTTTTTTTAACCTCCTTTCTTCCCTTTGCAACTGTGGCTATTTCAAACCTCCTCACTCCCTAATGAAGACATGGTCAAAGATCACTTAAGTGCCGGGCAATATTCCAGTATCTTTCCCACAGTTTCCCCTGAAGGGCAAACCAGCAGTTGTGGGAAAGAGCCCTAAGCCTCTTGGCACACAGAGTTACAGGACACGTCACAGAGGCATGGTGCAGAAATGGGGAGGACACGGTTACACAGCTCCTGCTGCTGTCATGCTGAGACAAGGCTAGCTCAAGTGCTCAGACCTGGGTGCTCATCATCCTGGTTAAACCGGATGGTGAAGATGTTCTGTGTGCATTTCCTGGCACGGAAGGGCTCCAAGGACAATGCCAGCAGCAACAATCTTCTTGCCATTCACATATCCCTTTGGAAAGCTGCATAATAACTACTGTCAGTGCTTGTAGGGGACAGACTGTTCCAGACTTGCAGCTGAACTGGGATTGAGAGATTTAGGCTGTGCCACTGGCACCCTGCAGACTCATGGACAAAGTTGAACAACTCTTTTATCCTTCAGGTTCCCCATCTATAAAACTGAGACATTCTTCCATGAAAGGGTG